AAAAATGCAAAAATGCAAAGACAAATCGGCAGTCTTAAGTTCGTGCCTATGCTTGCAGGTACAAAATTTGCCCGTGTCGGCATTCAAGCGTAACGGAATGCAAGACCAAGCACATTCGAAAACGTTGGGAACAACGAATTTCTTATATCGATGCCCCAACGATATAGCTATAAACTGTCACACAGAATTTGATAAATGATTCAATTATTTTATAGTTAACTATGATGTCAAGTGTAATAAATGTAGTTTTTTTAAATAAAGTGTATGTTAGAGTAAATATCTTTTACTTCCTTTTTTTAGATAAACCAACCTACTTCCGTAAAAAAACATACCTGTCAAATGACCTGCAGTTTTACACCAAGAGAGAAAGTTTACTCAATGCCGTTGCAATGTCTTCCATGTGAAACAGAAAAGGTAGTTTTAATTGCTCTGTTAGCCTTTGTGTCCTTTGTAGCCACAAATAATTTTGCCTTATAATTAAGCTAAAATTGCATGTATTGGTATAAATAAATTAGTTAAGTATCAGTCCATATATCAAAAACCTCCTCTATACAGAGGGTATTAGAAAGTGGGCGCCATCCACTATCACTTTACATTTCTGCGAAATATTTGTAGTTTGTTATTATTTTTCAAAGTATTTAGGTTTCTTCACGATGTTTTCCTTCACGCAGATAAGTCAGCACTTAAAATTAACAACTTCATTGGTGCCGGCTACGGTAATAAAACTAAGGTTGCTCGTGCATATTGAATTAAAAGCCCCGGCGCCCGGAAAATGAGCTTTCAAGATTTTAGTATAATAGTAAACTTTTTCACATTTTGTTTTTTACTTATTCAGTTAGTTATGATATGATAATTTGACGTAATAATGTAACGTGTTATAGCTTGGACAGGAGACCTACAGAATGGTCCCATTTAGCAAATGGCCTTTACCACTCATAGTTTATTGCTATGACTAAATCACCGACTGTCTTCAGGTGTTAGTACATAGAATCGAACCTACTAATATTGTGTAACCATCATAAATTCTCTGACAACTATAGGTTTTACGTTAAAAAATATGATAAATATGAGTGTTTTATATTTACATTATAAACGATATAATTAGTATAGAAGTATTTTCATTTGAAAAGTTGGCAACAAGTTTCACATGATGTTGGGCGATATTCCTCCGCCCATGGACATCTAAAACACCGAACGGGTTGCAGATGCGTTGCCAATGATTAAAAAGTTGATCCCGGCTACCTTAATCACGACACAAAGTGCAAAAGTATAAGACTCACGTCACGCCGGTCTTCTGTAAGTGGTACTTCCCCGGTACACGAGATACACCACCTATATATTGTTTAGTGTTCAAAAATATTTTTTTCATAAGAGTAAGCAAACGTTTGTATCGTTGTCTTTATAGACATAAAAGTGCGTCAGTCAATTCAAGGAATTAATATTAACATTTTTAATATGTTCCGTAATTATCGTGAATATATTTGTGCTAACTTAACTGTTATTTACGCTTCATATAACAATTTATATTAAAATTCGAACTCATCAAAATTAACCTGAGGTATTTTCATTTATTAAAATTTAATATTCAACGCGAAGTATGGATGAGCGCCACCTGAATTGATTCCCACGCAATATCCTATCCGAAGCCAAAGCAAAAAGCTGAATAAACGTCGTTGACGCGAAGTAGAAATTCAATTACATTACAAACCAAGCCCTGAACTGGAAAAATTTGTCTAGGGAAACCTGTTAAAATTAAAATCAGAGACATTTATAAAAAAATATATCTTTCATGATAAATATTTTCGCGGTAATTAATTCATACGGATGTTTTGAATGTTATTGGCATATAAACAATAATAATTTTATATGCCTTTTGTATATATATTTGAATAAAATGCCGATCTAAGAGTAAAGAGGAACAATTTATTAGGCTGTTTATTTTTCATGAAATTAAATAATTTTACGGAATGTGGGAACGTTTGTTTATGACAGCCTGACAAGCTTCTATTAAGAATATTGACCTTATAAACTTTGTTAAGTTACTGTTCGAGTCATTGTTACGTTTATGTCTTGTTGTATCATGAAGCGGTGAAATAAAATCCAATACTAATTTAATGACATAATTTTGAGCTGATATAATATTCATAAGAAATTATTATACCTAAATGCAATACAAAAACAAAAATAGAAAAATATAAAGATATTTTTCTATGAGAACAAACATCTAAATTACACTTACTAATAATTTAAATTTCTTTTTCTATAGGTAAAATGTTCTTATCAAGTACAAAAGCAACACGATTTAGATAATTTATATCCAACCTGCTTTGAGTGTGAAGAATGTATTCCGGCGAGAGCAATCAATCATGTGAAGCGTCTTTGTTAAATTATTATTAGTCTTGTATAGCAATAAAGTATAATATACGCCACCATATAGCTTATTTATTTAAAAATCATTAAAATTAAACCCATTATTGATACACTATGAATATATTTCTCTTCTTCTTATGTGCGAAGATGACAAGCTGGCGGTTTACCGGATGTTTAGTTAGTAAGTTAAGAATAAGCGTCGCACATGGGCATTTACAACACTCTAAGTTGCAAATGCGTTGTCACGTGTAAGACGAAATGAGGAAGCGTGGCACTTCCCCTCACACCGGTTTTCTAAGAGGTCATGGTACTTCCCCGGATGAACCTGCCCATTCGTGCAGCAGTGACGATTTTTCCGTGACTCTACCACAATTAAACAATAATATACGAATTTTGTTATATATTTCAATCTTCTTTAAATACATTGTAAACTGATTTAAAAGAAGTCAAGAGTTTCCACTTTATAAACATTTAAGATTTAGTGTTTTATTTTAAATGTCTTTAATACATATTTTTTGAAAAGAAAAGTAGTATAAAATAAAATTGACACCGTATTTTCTGTATATGATTTTTTTTATTTTCACATGTTATTGAGAAAAGATCATTTTCACAACCATTGGATTTATGTGAATAACTAAAACTCTCAACAATGACATGGTTGAGAAAATAAGAACTAACTGTTCTTTTATTTACAAGTATCGAAATATATATTACATGTTATCCTTTTTATGCCGAGGATAGTTTTACTAATAAAATTTTAATGTAAAGTTTTATATTTTTAAATAAAATAAAATAAAAGCAATATGAGACTAGCCATAATGTTTCAATAAAATGAAATGAGCTGCCAAAAAATGTACGAATACGCTTATTCCGAGTTTATATGAAATATCGATATTTAGAATATTCTTTTAACCCAAATTTATGATTGGGCAGACTGCTAGACCTTTTCGGAACACCTCAACCGACACTAATGTGAGATCGTAATTAAAAAAAAAAATTGAATTGTAAAATTGTAAAATCCAATGGTGCCTATGTGACATAGGTAATGGTGATATTTGAACTTCCGACAAGGGATCGGCAGTCGATTTCCCAACCGCAATGCCACTTCAGGAGAATAAAGATTTTGTTTACTTGAAAAAGTTACTCTTATCTTATCCTTTAAACGAGCAATTCTTGTATATATATAATCGGAATCTCGGAAACGGCTCCAGCGATTTTCATGAAATTTAGTATGTGCGTAGATTCGGGGGCAAAAAATGGATCTAGCTAGGTTTCATTTTTAGAAAATGCCCTTTTATCCCTGTTTTCAGGGAATGAAAAATATAATTCGAATATGACGGTAAATTTCGCCGCAAGAGAAAATGTTATAATAGCTCGGTCGGTAATCGGGCGGCCCCAAAACAGACGGCCGTGGTTCGCGTCACGATTTTTTTTCGATTCCAGATCATTGCTTTCTGAATTTTTAATTTTTTGTCGATTTGTTATTTTGTTATGTTTTTCCCTTTTTTTTAAAGTTTTTTCTTTTGTGAAAAACATCAGTTCATATTTTCTTATTATTACGTCGGTAAGATCGAAAAATATTATGCATATTTCATTACTCAATAATTTGTATCTAAATGTAATTTCCAAAATACACGATTTACCAAAAAAAAAAAAACACCGAGCAAAGCTCGGTCCTCCGGGTACTTTCCATTATCGTAAACCTAAAAATACGAAGAACTAAGAATACTGAATTTATTTATTGATCTTTGAACATGGGCTGACTGCTTTTTATAGTATGGCTGGACTGGAAGTTCACGCATGCTTTTTGATTCGGCATGACATGACACCATAATGTTTAAATTTATGGGTAAAATCGTTATAGATTCAATTTTATAGTGAAAAGTAACAAACGGGCAAGAGGTTCATCTAATGACAATTTCTCATTGTCTCTAATCTGATGTCTACTCGTATGTCTATGTATATACAGTCGTAAAATTGTCAGAAAAATTCTGGTAGCCGAAATATTGGTTGCTTACATAAGTTGGTGGACTTTGTTTTACATAACTCACGAATGTAACACTACAATTAACATATTTTTTAAGTTCTCTCTCTATGTCTACAAAGTCAAAGTCAAATATCTTTATTCAATATAGAAGCTTTACACTTACTTATTGATAGTCAAAAAACTCTACCACCGGTAGAGTTTTTTTTTTTGTACGGGAAGACCGGACGGTTGACTTTGCATATGCAAGTAGCAGCATAAGACATTTGTTCAGACAATACGAACGCATCCTAGATGCAGTGAATATGAGATATAAAATTATTTTGCATTATCATTATAAAGACCATTGATTGATTGTTACAGATTGGAATCTAGGTGGGAAAATATTTATATCAATGCATAAGGAATAAAACATCTTACACCATCGCGACTTGCATCGATAGTTGACAAAACCTAGAAACCAGTAGCCGTCACAAATGGATGGCCGAATTGCAATGTAACAATGCGTCAACGAGAGTGTTTCCCCGTATTCGTGGATTTTTATTTAACCTAGAAGATACACATAGCGAAGAAGTTTCTGAGGCCAATGCGAAGACGGCGTGGTTGGGCGGCGGGCCAGGAGGCGCGCTGACTGCGTGCTCCCATCATGCGGCAAGTTCTAGCGCTTGTGCTCGCCGCCGTTTGGTCAGCTGTCTCCTCTCAGATAGCTTGGACGCCAATTTTTCTCGACGCCGGCAGTAAGTTTACTTATAACCTTAATGTGCTCGCGCTAATCTTTAATATTTATGCACTCGTTGTCAATTTACGAAATACGACCAATTAAAATCTAAAAAAGTGGGAGGTAATATTTTTTTTCACATAAAAATTAAATGAGTACCAAAAATTGTGAACAAAAGACGACATTTTAGATGATTTGAAATAAGCGCCCAATTTTTCTTTTTTTTATGTGAAAAGTTGCCAAACGAGCAGACGGTTCACCTGATGTCAAGTGAATACCGCCGCCCGTGAAAATCTACTACACCCGAGTGTTCCAGACGCGTTGACAACCTTTTGAAAATTGGGCACCGGCTACCTCACTCACCAGACGCAACGTGAAAGAATTACACTTCCACTTCACGCCGATCATCTGTGAGGTCGAGGTACTTACCCGGACGAGCCTACCCATTCGTGCGACGGCCGAGGTTGCTGCGTGGCCCTACAGTCATGGAGAAATTGATGTTGTGTGGTTGTCTACTCCAAAGTGTTCATTCGAATCAGCGTTTTTGTGTTAGGTCAAATAGATCTGTGGACGCAGTCTTCGTCGGGCTGCGCTTGCCCGGGCGATGGCACGGAAGACTGCGCGTGTTGTGTGCGGGACGGCGCGTGCCCTTGCGGCGATCTGGCCCCAGGGCGGTGCGCACAGTGCGGTCTCGAACAGTACTGCTCCAACAGTCAGTTTCCTGTTTACTTTTACTAGGAAAATGTCCTTAAGTTTGTTTCACCATTCGGTATTGACAGCTATAAATAACACGGGGTGAGTTGGGAAAACTTCCGCTTCAGCTGTGCTAACCGTATATCGCAGCAGATGTTCCGCGTTTTAAATTTTACAGCTCGCGCTATCCGGAGATCTTCAGGGCCTTTATGTATATCTATTTAACACGTCTCTAATTCACTTACTTCTTTTTCTTCTATTTTTCAAGTACTGCTGTGGGACAATTTGACCAAAAATATATACTGAGGTACCCCAAAAAGGGGTACAAATAATTTAATATTTTAATTTAGAGACACTTATGAATCTCTGTTTTTAATAACGACAAACATAATTTTCTGTTTATACTATATGAATCGCCTTTCGAATTCTTAAATTGTTTTATAAGTTTTATTAAATTGTATGTATGGCAGTAACGATTGAAAGAAGAATATCTTTTAGTACAGTTTATAAATTTTGTTGGTAAAAACCCATCACGAAACTTACAGCATATTGTCGTATATTTAGTGTGCAACATCACAATCGATTCGCGTGTCCTCAAAAGCAAGTCAGGCAAGACGTTCGGCCAGATCAAGTCGCCATCGATCGAGGGACCTGGAGCGTGCTCCTACTTCTTGCAACCGGATGCAGGTCAGCGAGTCGAAATACAGCTATACAGACTCGTCTCCGTTGGAAGGTTTAATGGATCTAGGTAAAAAGGATATCGATTTCTAGCACTAAGGTGAATTTGGAAAATTACAATAAAATTTGGTTTTTGAAAATTACAATAAATTGTGTGACTGTGTTCACGCTAAATACATTTTTAAAAAAATCAATCAAAAATTTGTTGGATTACGACATTCATTATGTCAGTGATTAAATTGTTTTGACAGTTGTGTCGGTGGCTGGCTCCAACTAAGCGGAGCAACAGCTGTACGAAATGTAGACGGAGTTGGAACACGCCTTTGTGGCGAAAACGAACGTTACAGTCCACCCGTAGTACTATTCGCTGATCACGGCGCTTCAACTCTCGATTTTAGGTAAGTATTAAATCAAAACCATTTCAGTATTCACTCATAAACTTGTATATTCGCGTAACTCTTGTATATTACCTACATCTCTAAAACTGATTAAACGGTTTGAATTAAATTTTCGGTTCTTACAAGTTTATCTATAGTCAATCCTCATCATCATTCTCCTGCTTTTATCCCACCTTGGTTGGGTCGGCGCAGCATGTGAATCATATTGTAAGCGGTTTTGGCTGTGTTTTTTTAAGGGCCAGCCGCCTGCCTTGAGAAATAAACACGAATACAGATCCGGAGCAATTATCTGTGGGTCACACAAATACTCGACCTGTGTGGGACGCCGATGCCAATTGCTTAGCAACGTCGCCACCGGTCAACGCGTTTATCTATATAGTTTCCCAAAAAACCGCGATTACTAAAAGTCTTGAAAGTCCCGTCATATTTGGTCCGGCCGTTTCAGAGATCAGCCGGAACAAACAGACAGACAGACACAAATTGTAAAAAATGGTATTTTGGTATATGTACCGTGTATACATCAATATCCATTTAGTAAGCAGCGGTTATTTCAATCTTACAAACAGACGCTCCAATTTTATTTATCTGCATAGATTTTATTTTTCACTTATCAATAACCTTGCAGAGTAATACTAACGTAAAAGCACGACTCTACAGAGAAAAACGCCCAGGTTCTTTGTTAATTAATCGTATTATTTTAGGATAACAGAGAAAACGGTGAGATCACAGTTTCTGGCTTTCTTCAGTTTTACTTCTTTAAGTAATACGCAAGGAGTGGGATTCCATCCTCGCGGCGGGTCGAGAATTCCGCATACTGGTAAAACGTTTCTTTTACCTTTTTACAGCTCTATATTTATATAACAATGGATGCGCCAAGCATTGCTTCAAATGCTAAGAAACAATGTAGATAAAAAACGTTAAGATTTTCGTCGGTGTGGCAATCAGCCGTTTAGCTCAGTGTCTAGAGCGTCAAGCCGCGAATGCCGAGGACGTGGGTTTGATTCTCAAAGCGACGACAATCTTTTCGTATTTTTTCTACAAATTTTAATTTTTAAAGCTCAATATTTTTAATGTCTTTAATATTCTGTATTTTTTTGTACTAGATTGTGACTGGCTATATCAGGACATATCATGTCGTGGTGCGGGCACATGTGTTCTTGCCAGTCCTGGTTATCCTGGCCTATACCCTCCTCATCGGCGTTGCAGATACCTTTTTGCCACAAACTCAGTGCACACGCGCGTCAAGATCATTTTTACATCAATTCTTTTGCCAGATGAGTGAGTACTTTATGAGCGTTTATTTATGAAACATCATTTAGACTCAAACTTTTAACTTAAAAAAATAAAAGCGAAAAAAGTTGCACAGCGTAAATTTAATTTAGGTAACTTAAGTTAGATTATAGCAGAGAAATTTTCTATTTTTCTGGAATTAGTTGATAACGAACAACGTTGCTGAAAATGCATCATGGAATACGAACTTCGGCAAACACTATTTCATGAAAGACCGTTTGATATTTAACAGTTCGAGTTTTTGGATGCCGAACAATTGCTTCAGTAAATAAAAGAACCCTCTATCTCGTTTCCACTTCTGTGGATTCGTTCCATCGTATGTTATTGAAAATTTACCGTGTAGTCGTTTTTCTCTTATACGAGAAGTTCTCTTCACAAATAAAATTCAGGCATTGTTTTAAATTAATATTATCATTTTGGTGTACACTAAAATGATGACACGTTACACTCATGACGCGATTTATTGTTCGAACCAAATTTTCGCTAAGCAATATTTGATTACTGTGACTGATGGTATTCGGATATTAAATATCATCATACGCATCTTAAACTTTTGGGCATAGTAACAAAAACGATATTGACACACAGGACCTGATATTACTAACAATTCACGTTTTATTTAAAGTAATTCTAACCAAACTTCCACTGTGAATATAACCTACATTGTGCCTAATTGAAATCCAAAATCATAAACGAAAACAATTTAGGTGCCTTGTTTCACTTTGTTCATAATTCGGTACACGTTTGACTGTCACGGGCAAGCGAATTGTACCCAACTCAATAGTCGCAATAAAAACTACCTAGCCGTGACTAAGTGTGCCCTAAAATTTAATATAAATTTACAGTTTTATTCGCGAACCATATTACGGATTGTTTATTATTTTTGTGCAAAAGTGTTTTAATTTTACTTATAATTTTATTTGTGCTTAATCATAAGCCATTAAGATTTTTTTAAGTCATACGACGTAACGTACGGAACAACTTTGTATTATAATACTAAAAATTTAATCACACTCCTGCATTTATGGTTGCGTCTTATATCTTAAAATATATGAAACTACCAACCCATACTGCCCTTTTGGGTGCATTTCAATGACGACTTGACTACCATGTGTCGTAATAGTTTATTGCGTGTTACCACAAATTTACGTGATACATCTTGTTTTAAAAAACTTAGAATAATCTACTAACTTCAGCTCAAATCCCCCGTGAACCAATGAAATTTCGCAACTGTGATCATTTCTATCATGTGCTTTTGCAGTGTAAGAAACTATCGGGGGAAACTTGCTTATATTCGAAATAATTACAAATATTTTAAAGATATGAGAATCTGTGGTCATATACAGAGTATTACTTAACTTTTTACTTTGAAATGATCCTTAATTTTTATAGTCCAATTTTTAAATTAATACTTCTAATGGCGAGTCTAGGAAAAATGATTAGGATGCATGTTTACACTTTGTTTTAGAAACAAAGAGTACTGGTAGACGGGATCAAATTTTTAGCTATCCTTTATTATATATTTTCCTCTTCTGAATGATAAATTAATTTAATTTATTGCGCATCAAAACGTTAATAAGTCCCGTCACATTTACTCATTGAATTTATATAAATAACCCTAGATTATGAAAATAAAATACACGTGAAAAAGAAATTTTTAATTATTACTTGATCAGGCGGGCAAACAACACCGTTAGCTACGTATAACTAGTGAACCCATGGGAAATTTTGACTCAGTGAACCCAAATATAACATGGAATGCTGGAAAGCGCTAATACACAAATCTATATAATATACAAATACTACACTGAATTATCACCAAAAAAAATTAACTTATCGTTAGGTCAACTGAGTCTTTACTAACTTGTATAATACGTTTGTTTCGGCGTTTCACAAATATTGCGGCACAAGCAGTGCCATTGGGCGAGGTACTTGACAAGCCGTTGTAGTAACGTCAGACGCCCCGTAATGAATGTTTTATGCATAACTGTTAATTTTATAAATATAAATTGTTATTTAATGCGCCATTTTAACTCCTTCTGCCTTAAAGATTCTCCTAGACTGTATACTTACCCTCTCATACGATGATGCACTAAAATAAAGAGATAACAGTCTATTTAATTGATGACTCCGGGGCGTAGTTCCAACTAGTAGTAGGGCCTAGGTATTGGCTTCGGCGTCGGGGGTCATGGGTTCGATTCCCACACGAGACAACTATTTGTGTGACCCACAGACAGTTGTTTCGCATCTGGTTGTTGGTCCGCGTGAAATTTATGTTTGTTAAACGTCCTGACAACACAGGATAATGTTATCCTAAAGTAAGGGCAATGTTTAAAACAAAATAATCTAATTACATGAGTTGCCGAAATTTGAGTGCCTCGGTTTCGGTACACGAACGTCATATCTACCTCGTATTTGTATATAATATCATTCATACGCGTGGAAAGTGACTGCGCTCTTAATCTTTATGAGTTTTGCGGAGCGACAAGAATTGTTCCATGAATTACTTGTGTTCACCATATATGTCGAAACAAATTATCTTATCATTTCAACTAATTGTCAATAAATGACATTATCATACATTATTTCATTTTTAAATCTGATGGAGAATTATGGAAGCTATGTCGTTCCAAAAAACCATTTATATACGAATTTGACTATTAAAGATATATATTACTACCGACTATCAATAAAATACACTTCATTAGAAAATAAAAAAAAATATTTACTATTAAACAAATGAGTATCGAGCCGATATACATTAGCGGTGATACAGCCTTTGAAGTAGATTTATAATTCGTAGAAAGAAGTATTTGTTAAAAAGTTCTAATCTCAAAAGAATGGCCATCAAATGTATACGCGCTAAAGTCGCAGGAATACATTTAAAATAGTTGAAATGTATCTACTTACAAAAAACAATAAATGATAACTTGTGGAGCAAAAATTCCGAATCAATTCTTAACGAACTTCAAACCAGAATACAATAGTATTCTTTGCTCCAAACGTCGTCTGGCGGCTGGCGCCCGTTCGTATACGGCTAAGGCACAATAAACTTGACATTTGTGTGAAAAACATAAGCACGCTTAACATGGTAGGAAAAAAAATACTAATATTTCACTTTATTTTCTGTATATGCGAGAAAACAACAATTCTGTCATGGCTTATTGATAAGTTTTCTTTTAATGGATTGTAGTTAAAAAAATAATTAAAAAATGAAACTATTAGCAGTGGTCAGTTATTTCATTCTTGATATACTTAAGCCGTACTAAAAATGTATTTTGTTTAATTATGAGTATTGAGTATTTCTGTTAGTTTATTCGCAGTTTATAACATTTAATCATGTTTTAAAAATATTTTGGGAAAACCTTAAAACCAGAGACTTAGCTTAATATTATTTAATGTCGTACTCTTGAGGACAAAAGCTAAAAAGTTCTTTTATTAAAATAATCTTAATTTATATTAAGGATCATATTTCAAACATACAATGCTTCATCCGGGAATAATTGTATTTAACGGGATTTAACTTCACAGCCATTGCATAACGGACTATTTAACGCTACGAGCTGGTAGTTCTCCATCGGCCCCTCTGCTGGCTACAATTTGCCTGGAAAAGAGTGCAACTTTAGAATATCCCGGACCGAACTTGCTGTTGGAATTCAAGTAATTGTTAATTATTAACTTGTTCTGTGTACTACCCATACTAAAATATTATTTAATAATAACTTTGTTTTTTTACAAACAGCCTTAATAAATATTTTTCTCATTCAGCTCCGGGCCACTAGTACCACCATATAATTATAATGGGTTTATAGCAAAACTAGAGTTCTTGGAAAGAATGGAAACCAGTGAACCGCCACCTACTGTTGTGGTAGCATCACCGCCTCTGGCTGCTTTAACACATCTCACACATCATGGTAAGGACGTTATTTTTTTTAGTATACACATTTCACAATTGACAAAGATTTATACATTTTAAAATAGTAATCTGTAGTTCATTTGAAATAGAATTCAAAGATTTGTTCCTTCAATTGGTCTGAAAAATTCGATTATTCTTGCTTATTTAGGCTCAATCTCATTTGGACCACACTGAAAATAATACGCATAACATAGCATAATAACGAATATATGTTAATTATGAAAATAATCTAATGATTGGATAGCGTTAAAAATTGAGAAAAAAAAAAAAAAAAATTAGAAAGTAATTGCGGTGTTTATACCATAACATTATAATAGTCCGTTTTTGCAGTGAATGAAGTATACGTCAAAATTAATTAACACAAAGCAAACGCTATTACGATTGCAACGATATTTACGATTTTTTAATAACATTTTCTTTAATTCGCAAGTGGACAGGACTGCTCCCTTGGAGAACACGGTGATCACAAATGAGATAGTGTCACACAACAAGGCCAACGGTCGTGTTGGCTGCGGTGTGAGTGTGCGCGGGTACGGTGCGGGTGGCGTGCGCTCCGGGCACTTCGACACCCGATCGACGCCGTGGCGCACGCAATGCACGATACATCTGCTCGGATCTCCAACGGACGTTGTTCAAGTGTCACTGTTCAATTATAATTTAAGGTAGGCCGCACGTTTTGAACTTTCAACATTGCAGTGTTAACTTAACATAGATTTTTATACACTTTTTACGGATCGCAAACAGAACATTAATATTAGAAATAAGATTTAAAATCGGATCCACCGTCGGGGGTCCCGCCAAATAACGCTTCACACTCAGTTAGTGCCTAACCAAACACCATAGTTCGTCCTCGCCTTCGAACACGGCGAAACCAACACAATGCGTACACTAGGTACACCCGCCCGGTCTCACCGCCCCCAGCCAACGACTAAACAAGCACAGTCAACGGCCAGGGTCCGCACCGAACCACGATGGCCGGTAGGCGATATGTCATAATTATCGCACGCATGAGTATATGCGCGGCCCTACTCACTGAGGAGGGCCTCAAACCCGTGAGTTCTAGCTAGCCCACCGGTTCTGCGTTCGATGAAGCTTTAATAATCTTAGGGCTGAAAGCGTAACATAAGTTATACAAAAAAAAACATGCCATTCAACGGTGGTAGGGCCACGCAGCAGCCTCGGCTGTTGCACGAATGGGCAGGCCCGTCCGGGTAAGTACCACGACCTCACAGAAGACCAGCGTAAAGTGGAAGTATGAGAAATACTTTCGCGTTTCGTCTGGTGAGTGAGGTAGCCGGAGCCCAATTTTCAAAAGGTTGTCAACGCATCTGTAGCGGGAGTGGCAGATGTCCATGGGTGGCGGTATTCACTTAACATCAGGTGAACCGTCTGCTCGTTTGACAACTTTTCGCATAAAAAAAAAAAAAAAAAAAAAAAAAATGTGTAAAACATGGCATAGGCAACATTTTGGATGAAAGGACAAATAAAAAGTAAAAATGTGAATTTAAGTGTTAAAAGATAATTTTATTTGCTATAAACATTGTATATAAGCATGTAAGAATTAATTGAATATAATATTAGTCAAAATCATATTTTTCTTTATATTATATTACCTACAGTACTAAACATTTTTCGAACGATGCTACCCGCATATATAAGAACTTTTGTATTGTATAAAAAAGCTTTCGGAAAAACGTATCACTCGAAGCGAAACATCTTTGTAATATCAAAAAATTCAACACTGCGTTCGAAATAAATTTGACATATAAGATCTCATCGCTCTCGGGCGATTATTACATCTGTCGCTTGCGAATTTATATTTAAAAAATAACTTTTTTTCACTACGGAATTGTTAAAATGAAAAAGTGTTTTAAATTTTGTGCAGTTGCAATTTTAAAATACTATGGTTTTTTATTTAGCAGTTTTCGGTATCGTCAAGCACTTTATGTGATCATGAACCGTAATAACGCGGGTCAAATTAAGTTGTCCAACGGAAATAAAGTTGTGTTTTAATACGCAACGTGCTTATCGGAATAATCACTAACAAAAGCCTCTGAGAAACGAAAGCTAGCCGAAGCGGATATTCAAACACATTACTTTTCTTTGTAGTTGCTTTGTTCAAGTAACTCCGTGCTCGACTAAATTAACCTAAAAAAAATTATCGAATTTTGTGTTTTCCACAAAGGTTACAAAGCTGTCGATCTCATATTGAGATATTGGAAGGGTATTACGAATTTATCGGCCGAGGGGAAAAGGGAAACAGGTCTGAGCGAGGTGATCGGGCACTGTTAAGAGTTTGTGGCCCCTACGTACGCGAAGCCCGGGATCCAGCGGGGAGATTCCTTATTCGCCAGGCTGTTACTTCAAAAGGCGCAAATATAACAATTCTGGTTCGGCGTGCTTCCAGCCAAAGTGTCGATGAGGAAGAGTTCGTCGATGGGGCATTTGCATTTCACGATGGTTTGTGCTATTTCATTTCCAACTAAAGAAGTTTTTGTACTTATATTACATCTATTTCAAATGTCCATTACCATACTATGATGATACATACTTTGAAATATTTTCGTGATTTAGATATTAATCATGTTTTTTTACTTAGACTTATGGTGTCGTCAGTTTCTTCAAATAAAAGAAATAAAATAAGTCGTATAGTCGTATGTTTGTATTTACCTAATATTGCTGGATATTGAAAATTTTGTGCCGAGCTAATGCTATCGCGGTAATTGAATTTAATATACTTCAATTGTCATCGAGTTTCGATTTTTATAATTTATTCCACTGTTATTAACAGAACAACATGAAGGTACGATATCACCCGATGCTACTTGTGCTACAACTCATTATGGATTTTCATCGCAACGCCATGGTGGCGTGTCTGCACCATCACACCACCACATTTTTTGGAATATTGAGGAGCGATTGTTATGCACACATCTTTTTATGCCAGCTGTCAACCAGAGCGTAACTATAGAGGTAGGATGTTAAAATAAAATATTTATTTTAGCTAATGAGCCATAATTTAAATGGTAAACGATCGAGTATTATTTAATCTGATCCGATAACAGTACAAAACAAGTACTTATAAATTAAGTAAAAAAAAATTATAACTATTTCGCGTTAAATTTTGTTTATTGACTGACTGGACTTTTTAAACCGAAAACTTTACAATCAGTATTTGAAACTTCTTCATTTGAAACCAGATTTAAACACGCTGACATCACTTCAATGGAAATATATTCGTCTGAATATGCACTAACTGTAAACAAACATGTATTTCCTCGCGATAAGTACATGTTCAAATGTACTTCGGCACTCATCGAGAATCTAACTCTTAGATCCAACGGCTAGACAGAATGTGGAGCGCGGAGCCACCTGGGACAGCTCCAGCTGGCTCAATGGGCTGCAAGACCGCTTGCGGTGACGCTGGCTGTGAATGCCGTGCTGCTACAGCGTTGCTCTACCACGACCACATTGCGCTAGTGGCCAGCGACGGGACTCACCTTTCTTGTCTCTGTGGAGATTTTCAAGTATGTACGCGTATTTTTTGTATAAACTCAAATATTATTACTTTTAAATTGATTGTTGAAATTTTAATCAAATAACAGATTTTTGTAATAAAAATTGTGTAAATAAATAATGATGTTACGCCCTATGTAACTTAAAGGGTTTCACTTGAATGGGCTTAGCTCAGAAACAGTTTAAATGAAGAGTATAATATTTACTAACACAACTTACTAAAATTTCAATTATCACCATATGAAAAATCAATGTCAATTATCACCATACAAATAAAAACGTTTAAAGAAATTCATAGACTCCTATACCGTCGCACCTACGTAATGAAACATCAGTGCGAATGGCTCATACATGCTCCGTTAATAACGGTAGGACGACAGAGTAAAATACTCGAGCCCACAGGTCAGACTCGCCTGTGAAAATTCAATTACTTAGCGGTAATCTACCGTGTGCGTGTTGCGTAAAGTGTCCGGGATAAATTTTATTTGACCGCTACACATCCGTACGCCGAATGGTATCAAAGTCTTTGACGACTAAATTTTCCATTTCCAGATAACGTTTTTTAATTTTCGTGTTAACAATTTAAATTTTCCAGTACTGAGATTAACTTTAAAAAAGTATATCTTTGTTATCAACATTTTAAACCTTAGCAGTAGAAAGTAGATCATCATCAAAAGGGTAAAATAACCTTATAGCATAAATAACAGAGCTTTAATCAATAATAAAATGATATATGAAATGTTATATAAATATAAACATTTTTTTTAATAGGCTGCTTGGTTGCCGGTGGTAGTTCGGAGTTGGACTAGTTTGAGGTTGGAGTACTCGGTAGCCCATTACACATACGCTAGTCGGGGATTTGATTATGCAGCTGCATACAGCTTTAATGACGACGCCATGTGTGGACAGCGCACATATACAACTCACTCAGGTAAGATTTAGGACGAATTTCATGCCTATGTAGATCGTATATTGAACGATCAGGGAACGTGAAGACAAGCTTTGAATGGAGGCGAGAAATCACGAGTCAAATCAGCCAATTTACGAAAAAATATAACGATATATTCTGTTTACGTATCATTCTCTATACAAATACACAAAAATCTTGGAGAATTCGTTTCCTTTCTAATTACGCCAGATTCGACACAATGTTTCACCTTGAAATGCGTGAGCGGAATCGAAGAGGGGGAAAAAACGGTTCAATTTAACTGTCTACGCGTGTGGAATAAGTTGGTTATTTTTCTTAGTAGCGTGGGGCGTGTCCGGGAAAATTTCATGCCACGACCCAGTTTCACTCCGCCAGAGGTAGTACTGAATCGAAAAAAATCCTTGAACAAGATCGTAAAGTTCCAATTACAGCGACGCTATTGCGGGGATTCGTGTCCGCCTTCCCATTTTATTAAATCTAATATGTTCATGAACAACTTGCCACAATCTTCTAAATTTTTTCCCCATTTTAAATTGAGCTAATTGATTTTTTTCGCCTTCACAGGTGAAATATCCTCGAGAAATGTCTCCGTTACTGGAACATTAAACGAGTTTTTCTATCAACAATGTACTTGGGTGCTAGATTCAAATGTTGAAAGGCAGCTTTTTATCGATATTTCTTCTGAACAGGTTTGTTGGCTCTACCTATAATAATTTTATTATGAAAGTAATATTAACTCACCCTTTCGGGTTATGTACCGCAAGTGGAGGTTATAATTTTTTTTGCGAATTTGTTCTCATTAAGATTAATATTTTCGAATGAAAAAAACTTTTAGATAACATTTTGTGATTGGGCTTTATTAGGATAAATCCTGCGGATCTTGGAACATCACTCTTCACGAATGGTCAGGCATTGGTACCCATAGTCCGGAGGGGCTAGCAGCTGCGGCAGGCGAACTGCTCTATACTTTTTGCGCACGTCATAAAAACCACACTTACACCCTGCCCTGGCGACTAAATACTGTGGTTATTAGGTATGTTACACAATGAGTTATTGTTTTATATTGGCTTAAAATTTATCTCACCAGAATGTTAAGCGCCTGTTTATTTTTTTATCTCAAACGATTAGTGTATCAAGTAATGTTGGACATTTATAACACTGGACTACTTATATATAAGTTTTATAGTTCTTCATCTGGTTTGTTAAATGCTGGCAATACATTTGCAACCCTACGAGTTTAGGAAATATCCATGGGTTGTTATCACTTAACATCAGGTGAACCACCAAGTCACATTCCATCTTTTTACAAAAAATGACCCGTAATAACAGTATAATAAACGAAATATATACAAATAATTGTTATTTTTAATAACTTATTGGTATTCGAACTGTAGTGATACTATAGCCTTCAAATCTTTGCCCACGGATAGACCAGAAATACGGATAATATAAAAGTACAGTGTAAACTCTGTTCGAATGAAAAATGAAAACTGAAAAATGAAAAATAACCTAATTATATAATACATCAACAATCGTGAATATTTTACCTTGTTTTACTTATCAATACAATATGTAACTAGATATATAAGAGAAAAAGTAGAAAGACTTCTAGTTATATAATTAATTGATAACATATCACCTTCGTGTATTCTACGTTTGTATGTAGTGTAGTTACAAATATGCATATTTAATATAACATTTCCCTGAACGGTAAAAACGTTCTTTAGGGCACCCATTTCGTAAATTATTTATGAATGGCTTTAGCTTTAATACATCCCTAATGCGCATGCTTTTACATCGCTGAGTATTTTCTCGAGAGGAAAATCTTTTTTCTTTGTGCATATTATACGAGGTGTCGGGTAGATAGGGGTGAATTTTGCAGAACAGAATGCCTAGTGATGTTTATTTAATAATTTACATTATTTACATTATTTGTGATGTTTATTTAATTATTTAAAGCAGCTATAATCGCTTTACCTAAGCACACACCTTTTTCACGTTGTCCTAAATAGTAAAAAGTCCACATAAATTTTGTTATTCTTAAACACAGTTTAACTGTGGTGGTGGCGCTACTGTTCGCTGTTGCACGAATGGGCAAGTCCGTCCGGGAAAGTACCACGACCTTACAGAAGACCGTCGTGAAGTGGATACACTTCTACGGTTCATCTGGTGAGTGAGGGGCCCTCTTTAATAAAAGGTGGCAACGTATCTGCAACCCTACGGATGTTGCAAATGACCACGGGCAGTGGTTATCACTTAAAATCGGATGAACCGCCAGCTCGTTTGCCACCCTCTCACATAAAAAAGTCGATGTTCCTCCACGCATCACCGCAGTAGAAAACATTCACATTTAATCTTAACTACAATGTCAACTTGATTCGCAATTTTACGCCGAGACATTAATCAAACATTAAACCGCTTTGTTCTGCCGCAATTAGGTTAGTCGCCTTGTCGAGACAGCAACCTTTGTATGTGATCCGGTGGAGGTCGCAAGTGGTGCGTGCTAACACCCGACTTGGCCCACCGACGCCGGCGCCAGCGGCCGCCGCCTCCGCCTCCCCTCTGCTATTGTCCCGAATTTATTTCACCGTTTTATTATTACAATCGTTGGTACGACTTCGTCGCGATTGTTGACGCGTCGATACTATGAAATAGTCACTGAATCTTTGAATCTGTATTTGAATATTGTAATGAATCGATACACTGGCTACATCGGTCAGGTTTATGTTTTTTTTTTGTGGAATAAATGCAATATTTTTACGGCGAATGAAATATTTAGAGCTTTAAATAGATAATACTTATGACGAATGGTTACCGTTACTAGAACACTATCGAAATACATATATTATTTGCGCAAACGAATTCACTTTTATGAAATATTGTGTACTAAATTTTTGTCAATTAAAATTGTCACTGATACGATAGTAAAGTTTTGTTTGTAAATAAAGTTTTAGAAATCCCTTAGTTTTAAAATTAATGCAATATAGACGTGAAATTATAAGAACAGATATGTTCCTTACGTATTGATAAATGAGCAAGGTACGGATAAAAAGGTTTGTATTTATAAATGTTCAGTAACCACATTGTTTCTTAAGGATCTCTTTTATGTTATATTAACATGTCTGCCAGAACCAGTCAGTAAAACTAGTAAAAATTACCTGTTTTGTTAAGTTTTGTAATTATCATTTTTTATCTAAGTTTTTAAAGAACTTAGTTTAAATCCGTGGTCGTCGAAAACGAACAATGTATATTTAGTTGCCTTTTATTTATAATTTTTTTCTTAATAAACATCTATGTCGGGTAAAATGACTAAGTGTCAAATAGTTAAATAGTTTGTAGTAGGTGTAAATATCCAATACTAGGAAAATTCAATGATAATCGTAACATAGGTACGTAGGTAATAACTAAAAATAAGAAATTCATTAAAATAATTTGTTACATGGGAATAAACAAATAAAGTAAACTTTGTGTATGAAACACCGCTGTTTGTTTGATTTATAGTGCAGAGATCCTAATTCTACGATACCTTTGGATGCTTCCCTACCTACAAGTGCCTCGTATGTATTTATTTTACCGTTTATTTATATAGCAGTTAGCTATATGCCGGAACGTTGATGTGCTATCTGAAGTCGCTTCTACGAATCCACTTAACGCCCCTCAATGATCTTGGATTTAGTTTAATGTCATGTAAAAACTACTGAAGAAAGAACTGAGAAAGTAATAAATTATTTTCCTATAGTGGCATATCGTTATTATTATTATTTTTATTGTTTTTTATTTTTATTGTTCATATATTTCAATATTGTCTTTACTGGTCTTGTTCATAGCACAAGTCGACCTAGCGTTACCTGTAACGGTCGCCGGCTCAAATCTTCTGAATATGATTCTATTTTGTCACATGGCAAATTACTAGGTCATCTGAACATTCGCCTTATCATATTCAAAATCTTTAAAAAAAGTGATTATAACCAGAAAGGTATATCCTCCAGAAAAACTAATATTATAAAAATACTATAATATTATAAATGCGAAAGTTACTCTGTCTGCCTGTCCCGCTTTCACGCCAAAAGTACTGAACCGATTTAAATAAAATTTGGTACATAGATAGTCTAGAGCCTGAGAAAGGACATAGGCTATTTTTAATGGGAATTTTTTTTGAAGAAAGATATTTATATGAGGGCTTAAACGCCAGCGAAGCCGCAGGCGAAAAGCTAGTTCTAGATAATTCTCATAGGAACGTACGAACGAACAACGTAACTAAATCTTTTAACGCTATTACAATTCAATATTAAGTTCGATACCGATCAATTCACCAGTTCCACTAAAACTTCTCTTCGAAAAGAAGCAATAAACTTATAAGCCGACTTTTATTAATAGAGCGTTCTAGACACATATCGGTCAAAGTTGTTTTAATCCAGTAAGCTGTTACTTACATACATTTACGGCAGTAGTCCGCTAGGGGTAGTATCGACTGTTCAGAAATTACATGTTTATTTACAATATATAGGTACATAGCCCTCAATAATTTATTGAGGGACAGATTGTCAACCTGTCATTTCCTTGTATCAAAACTTCGCCACATAGATTTCGTAATTACTATTGTCACGGTACACTAAGCAACCGCCCCATGACGTGTAAGTGGAATCGACCAATATTAAACCTACATACGTGTACCTAATCGTTCCTTTGAATGTTACAATTGGAAATTCCAACCAATATATTCTGCGCGTATTTTATAACTAGCTGCTGCCCGCGACTACGTCTGCGTAGAATAGGCTGATGGCGTATAATATAGATTATATATTATATACATAAAATATGTATATAAATTATAGCCTATGTTTTATTCTGTGGTCATCTAGTTACTTATAATAAAGAGCCGTGAGATTGAGACCTAGTACCTGTATGGCGTATTATAATTACCTACCAAAGGCACCAGCGATTCACAACCGAAGTCGTAATCATACTTTAATATTATAAATGCGAAAGTACTGAACCTATCTGTCTCGCTTTCCTGTCTGTCTCGCTTTCACTCCAAAACTACTGAACCTATTTAAATGAAATTTGGTACACAGACAGTCTAGATCCTGAGAAAGGACATAGCCTATTTTGTAACTGGAAAAAAGTGTTGTTAGGGTTGAAAGATATTTATTTAAGGGCTTCAACGCGAGCGAAGCCGCGGGCGAAAAGCTAGTTTACTATATACCAAAAGAATTTTTTATGTACTTGTTTTGTGCTGTATAATGATTACTATTACTCATAAATATGATTTTTTATAAAAAGAATGGGTTTTAATATACGAGTAGTTGCAAATTCTGTACAGTACGATCATGATAAATGTAGCATAGTAAAACTGTCACGGATTATCCACAATGCAAAGGGTAAGGCGTACCGGAATTGTGGTCACAAAAAGGCCAATAAAAGACACATTTGAAGGGGTCACTCTTATTTTAATTCCAGGGCTCAAGACATCGCAATAAAGGTTACGCCTGCTCATGGCAGATAAAGGATTATAGCCATTTCATATAATTTACATGGACAAAAGTTTTATTTTTGCTCATTTACTATTTAAGGATACATTTACGCATACACGAAAGAGCTTAAATACTTTTTAAGTGAAAAGTATTTCTTATACCAAATATCTAAGTTATAACGGTTTACGTTATAAAAGTTGTAACCTTCTTCTACCTAGTCCATTCCCGATTATATAAATAAATAGTAGTTAAGTACTGAAATCTGTTACATTATACATGGAAAGCTCCCTATTTCTCGCATATAAAATTGGATAGCCCTTTGGGTAACATGTTAGTTTGTCTACCGGTGTTTGCCGTAAAGCCGCATTTCGGCTCCTTTAAAAACTTAACAATGGTACTCTTATATTATAGTATTTCTTTTTGACGAAAATAAAACAAATTTATTGCATTACTATATCGAAAAATCACATATCGAAAAATATTATAAAAACCTAGTATCGCGCAGAGAGGCATGTAAGATTCGTAGAGTAAGTCTTATGGACTTCCATAGCAGTTTCTTTTTTTTATTTTATTTTTATACTTGAACAAAATCCTAAGCACTTTGTTGTATATGAGATTATTGCAACACAGACAACAGTTAAGAGCAAGAAAACACTGATGAATATAAACAAAGCCTATAGGTTGCGTGTTTGTGCGTTAGGAGTAAAAAAACTGAGGAATCTAATAACTAAACTTTCATCGATACTTAAATCACTTCGAAAAGCATTAGCGTTGGGAATTCTCCCAGCGCTAACGCACCTAGTGACGGAAGAAACTCGAGCAACTTTTTCTATCAATAATAGAGAAAAACCAGCCAGGTATGTAGTGGTGTCGCAAAACAATACAAACTGGCAAACCTATACTAAGGTTTGCCGGTTTGTTTTAATGTTTCATACAATTGTTTGATCCTATCAATATATCAATGGCGATGGTCACCGTATGTTCTGGAAAATCGAGGATATGTCGCGGTTTGCGCAAGTTGTTGCGGAAAGCAAGTAGTGATATTGATCTGTATGTGGCAGCACCTAGCTCTAAAGCTATTTGATATTTGATATACGTGGAGATCGATGTTGCGCTAGAACCAAAACGCTACCATGGTCCTACGCATTTGGTCCTACGGATTTGAGTTGATGAGTTGGTGGATTTGTTAGGACGATGTGTGCGTAAATACCGGGCTAGCGTAAGTCATTATAGGGCGAACTATGTTCTGCCTTATATAGGATCATCTTGTTCCGAAGGGACAACTTATTCATTTTGTTAACTAAGGGACATAGGTAGCCAAATGCGAAAGCCGCCCTGTTCTTAACCCGAGTCACGTGCCGACTGAAGTCGAATTTAGAATCAAAGACGACACCTACGTATTTGACTTTACAGACCCGTGGTTTTGTGTTATCCATGGTTATGACGGGTGGGTGTTACCTTAACACTTATGATGTTACCTTATGATGTAAGAAAATAGAGAGTCACGATTCCATGAATCTCCATTTCGGAACGAAAGTGCTCATTGAGCCCATTTTGAATGCGAACGAGGAGGGTGCGAGCTATAGTTTGAGGATGGTACGAGGGACAGGTTATGGCTGGTGAGAAACGTTTGGTATTGCGTATGGCCACTGTAGTAGTGGAGTGCCTTGATCACCTAGGCATTTTATGCACCTTGATCGAGCGAAACAATTGCGTATCGAGTACATTTGGTACTTGCAGCACTGACCTGGGAGGACCTACATTCCGCTCCGTGCTCTCGTACGGAACGGAGCTCTATCTAAGACGGAGGGCTCATGCCACCCGAATTAGACGCTACTCACAACTTCGGTTGCATTTTAAATTTTTGTGCAAACAGTGCAATAGTTTAGTGTTGTGCTCGTAGGCAGGTTCCTGTTCTGTAAGTAGAATTCTATACACACTTCTCGCCTCAGAGGCTGCATTTTTTTATTTAATAACTGTGTGCTTGTTGCGACATGCGACAGCTAGGTACTCACCCTAGCGCGCCTAAAGCGCAGGCGAATAACTGTTTTATTTTAGGCACACACCTCCCTGCCGCAAGGTGGGGAGGCCTATTTAGTAACCTACACGCCGGCGGGGCGCAAGCACCCAAGGGTTCAAGCGCTCGCAATGGGTTCC